CAACATCCTTGTCAATCTCTTTTGCTACACCCTGTTTCAAGTTTAACAACATCTTTCCTGTTGGAGGGAGACCAGAACTGAATGCAGTATTCTAAAAATGGCCTCACTGATGTCTTGTACAGCCACAACATGATGCCCAAACTCCTATGCTCAATGCAATGAAGCCAAGCATACCAAACACCACCTTCACCATCCTGTCTACCTGTGACTGCACTCTCACGGAACTGTGCACCTGCATCCTTAGGTCTCTTTGTTCAGCAACAATCCCCAAGACCTTACCACTAAGTGTATAAGACCTGCCCTGATTTGCCTTTCTAAAGTGCAACACCTTACATTTATCCAAATTAAACTCCATCTGCCCCTCCTCAGCCCTACGGTCCATTTGATCAAGGTTCTGCTGTGCTCTGAGATAATCTTCACTGTCCACTACGTCACCAATTTTAGTGTCATCTGTAAACTTACTAACCATTCAGCCTATATTCACATGCAAATCATGTATATAAATGATGAAAAGCAGTGGATCCAGCACCAATCCTCACGGGACACCACTGGTAACAGGTACTGGTTACTTACAGTATGGTTCTGCACTTCAATGTTGCACTTCAGTGTACCGGCACCTTTTTATTGCGATACTGCTGGCAGGGCACCCTGTGCACAGGGACAGGCACCCATCTCATGGATTGGTGCACTTCGGGGCACTCACTCATTTTGTGCACACTTGAATACTGATGACAGCTTCCCAGCCTTGCCTTGCCTTTTTGAGCTTTGTCCCTTAAGTCATTGCTTAAAAGCTCACAGTTTTTCCATCTTACCTTGCCTTTTAGCGCAGACACAAAGCCAAGCAGCTTGTCATGGTTGTGGGTTGTGAGCAGTGATCAGGCAAGGGGGTGGATCTGTTGCTCTACAGCACTGTGCTACATCAATGTTCTACCTGCACCATGTGCCAGCAGTTTATGTGGCAACACTGTGCTTCCACCAAATGGCCATGTCTCAAAGATGAAGGGGAGTAGTCCTCCTTCAAACCTTTAGTCAGGGCCTCCCAAGGCAGTCAGTCTTGGACTCGATCAGGGTTGGGCTTCTGTATCACTACACTCTGAGCAGTGGACCACAGTTAGTCCTGCAGGTCCAGTACAACCAGTATTGGGATTCATGGTAAGTCAGTTGGGGGACTTCATAGGTGACCAGGCCTTTGGTACATCTCTGTTACTGGGGAGGGGAGGTCTATCCAAATCAGTCTGGTGGGGGTGGGGTATCAGCTCGAATGAATTTAAGGGGTTTTATCAGCGGCCAATGCTGTGGTAAGGAAGTTAGAGAAATAAGTTCTGGGGATTGGAGGCATGATTGATGAGTTGCAAAGGAGCAATCATTCTGAAGAGGGAAAACTCAACATACAAGAGAGGGGAGATAGTTGGAGGGTATAGGTTATTGCAGAGTGGGGTCATCTGGGTATTGACAGGGGTCAGTGCAATACAGTGATCGTAGGGCCGGAGGCAGAGGATAATGTTGGGAGATAAGGTTGCAATTCGGAGTTGTGAGCGGGAACATGTGAAAGCTCAATACTAATGGTCTCAACAGGGAATGCAAGGACATAGGAATGTGGAGGTTCAGGGAGGAGTATCCCTGATTATCAGACTCGCTGTGCCCAGCATGACTCGTATTGTCTTCCATATTTATGTGAATTATAAATGTGGCATGGAAATGGACAATGATTGCAACCACATCCGGATTGGGTGGAGTAAGTTTTTTTTTGTTGCTGTCTAAGCCCACCAGCTCCACTTGTCATCAATGTGAAGCCCTACAATGTCTAGTTTCATTCATTAGGCACTTCTACAGCGCAGTTTGAAGACATTTTAATTTCAGAACCCTGCATTTGAAATGCACACAATTTTTCAACTGTGTGGGAGACAAATCCTGCTCGTGAGCAATCTGGGCCATATCGTTGGTCATAACAGATTGATCATAATTATCCCTGTGAAGCAGAAATAATCGTAAGTGACTTTAAAAGTCAGCAATTCACAAAGACAATCCAAGTTTCATGGACAATGGCATAGAGCTGATTTCCTCTAATTGAACTCCAAGTAGTCTCCAAACTGCCCTTGTATTTAATGTGTGGAGTGGGAGGGGGAATAAGGTATCAGTAATCATGTAGCACTTAAAATCTCCCGCTGTATTTGTGTGACATGGCTTGTGCTGCATTTATGAGAACATGCTACAGATCCACCTCGCAGTATTCCATGGCCCTCCTTGTTAAAGTCCTCTGGTTTTGAGAAATATTATAAAGTGTCATTTGTGTGAGATACAGATATTGAGTGTTCACAGCAGTAAGGACCTGTTCTGTTTCTGATATTCCCCCTACACTGGTTCATTGGAACGGTAACCAATGGTTGCAGCCAGAGCAGGTTAACCGTTGCTGTGGTGCAATGAAGGTGTAGAGTAATGGAAAGCTGAAAGGAAGATGGAGGTTCAGGGAGTGGGGGGGTGGGGGATCCTTGATTATCAGAAGCATTTTTGTTTTGTTTGTCTTCCCCTGTTATTGCGTGCACTGCGAAGGGCAGCTTGTGCCTGGTAGCACTTGACCTGGAGTGTAGCTCGTTACTAAAAATGGCACCATCACTGGTAGCCCTGGCAGTGCTGAATCCTTCTGTCATTGCTGAGTGGAAGGTAGCTCAAGCCAGGCACCAGAGAGGTGTGGTGTATACCTAATGAGACGAAATGCAGAGAGTAGCGTGAGAAAACTCTCTCAGGCTCACAAAGAGAAATCCTCTGTGAAAGTCGCCAAGATTAACACGTGGCCAATTTCTGGTAAAAGTCAGCACCAAAGATGCCAGCTAACTGAGCTCACTTTCTGCTTTATAGCTGCACCCTTTCTGTTCTAATTCAGTTAAAAAGACCTGGGTAACCTTCTGAACTGCCAGTTGTTTCAGTTTTATTTTCCTCTGGCAATCGCTAAAACCCAACAGTTTAATTATTTACTTTCCTGTTAACCTCTGAAAGCAACACGACCCCAACCTTTTACATGCACTCGAAGATGCTTTAGTTGCATTTATTCTATTCAATACTGTTAAACTTTAATTTCCAAAACTAAAAATTGCCCACTAAGACATGTGAACCATGAACGAGATATTCACAACAACAACCGTTCCTGCTGTGCAGAGTTTTTCTGCGTAAAGCCCACACCCTGAACCTAAGTGGAGACAGAAAGAAAGGCTGAAGTGAAGGATTGACTGAAAAGAAAAGTACCCATTTCTTCTAGATCCCTTCATGACATCGGGACATTCCAAAGTTTGCTACAGTGAATGAGGAACTTTTTGACGTGCTGTAAATTTGTGCAATTTCCAGCAGTCAATTCGCCCAACAAGATAAATGAGCAGATACTACTTTTTATTTTTAGAAATTGGGTTGAGAAGTAAATATTGTTCAGAACACATGGGGGAAATTCATAGATCTTTAATTTAGTTCCATTGGCTCTGTTATGTTGCTTGAATTACAACAATGAGAACACTACATTGCTATAAAATGTTTGAATTAAACCCTGGATCATGAAAGTTATCATGGAGATGCAATTCTTTTTTGTTATCCATGGAAGTGACCTGAAACTCCTAATCTTGCTTCATCTGGCTGAACATGTATACATCACTGAAGATCTGCAATTCTAAGACAGTAATATTTGATGCCCCAAACCAGGTTTTGAATATTAAGATGTCAAGCGTGTTTATGTATTTGAAGAAGAAATGCAAAGCTGGTTGTCCTGTGTTAGTTTTCCCCATGGTGATGAAATTACCAAGCTCTTCCTCAAATAGCCAATCTCCCTAATCTGCAAGCAATTGAAGTCTAACTGACCTCAAAATTTACAGTAAGTAGAACTTTGCATTAAAAGGTTCAGTGCTGTCGTGTCAGGTAATCGTTCTGAAGAGGTTACATTGCTCATGTTACATTGCTTCCACCCATTTTGCTGATGTCACACACTGTGCATGGACTGTAGCTTTTGGAAGGAGCAGATGTATTTTTACCAGATCATTAAGATACTAGTCATCATGCCTGACTGAATGACATTGTACGTATTACTGTCATGAATAAACTTTGTTATCTAAGGACCGTGTCTCTTCTGTAGATACTCAAAGATGGCATACCCTCTCCACTATTTACTAGATGCGTCCAAGATACAGGATTGATGGCAATTAATTATAAGGCTTACCTGTTACCCCAGACTGGGAGAGGTTGTAAATACCACAAGGTGCCAGCAGGTATCATCTGGGAAAAGTACCACGATTACATCTCCACCATAGTAACAGAGTAATATCTACTTCCACATTATACCTAATAAAGCATTTTATCATCCAGCTTGCTATGTACGATACTAAGGGAGATTGGCTGGTCATATGGCACTTGGTATAGCCGTGATGGAGATTTATGATGGAAAACCTGCTGTATTTTCCAAGCAGGCTTCCACATAAAAGACTCTCATTTTCCATTATGCATGAATTTAAACTGTCTTATTTTCTATTTTAACACTTACAGCTCGTGGGATCACACATTATTGCCATGCTCTGGTATTTAATTTTTCACATGTTGGTTTGGTTTTTATGATCACAAGGGTAGACATAACTCAGACTCCAGTTTAAAAGCTCTAGACTCAATCATTCCAATGCCCTCCCGTCTTCCAATCTCTGTAAACTTGAGGTCATGCAAAACTCTGCTGCCTGTGTTCTTGTTCACATAAAGTTCCATGGAACCACCACCCCCTGTGTACTGTTCTCATTACAATATTTTGTATCTTTGTCTTTAGATATTCCATGTCCTTATCCCTCCCATTCTCTGTAATCTCCTCCTTCTGTACTACCCTAAGATGTCCAAACATAACCTCTGGTGGAACAGGCTTGAAGGGCTGAATGGCCTACTCCTGTTCCTATGTACAAGTTTTACTGAATAAAAGGTGCCATGCAAATGTATATCGTTGTCAAAAATAACAAATTACTGATGCTTTTGTTTACTTTGCACAGAGAAACTGGAGGGTGAAAAGCTGAATGTAGCTGAAGTGACGCAGTCGGAAATTGCCCAGAAACAGAAACTGCAGACTGTTCTTGAAAAAATCAATGAAACGCTTAAACTGCCACCCAGAAACATCAAGTGGACGATTGATAGTGAGTCTGATTTTAACAGGGGAGAGTATGCATTAGTAATACTAATAAAGATAATACTAATAAAGATTTGTTCACTGAAATGTTCAATTTGAGGACCTTTTATCTAAAATCACTCTCAACCTCTCTTCAGCCTCTATTTCAGTGAAGACCAGGAGAGTTCTTGCTGGTCACTTGGCCCACTATTTGTCCCTCAACCAATGTCATTTTTTAAAAGTCTGGTGATTATCCCATTGCCATTTCTCTGATTGCATTGTGCATTGTAATTCTCGTATTCTTACATTGTAATCGTGATTATGTTACAGAAAACATAATCTGTCTTTAAACCTTTGTGGACAGGATTATATAAATACAACTTTTCTTTCCTAGTTCAAACCTCTCATCTTCTTAAGCCACTTAGTGATGGCTGACTGACAAAGTACATATAACCTTCTCTTGCTTGTGTCATGCTATGGAAAAGGACAAATCTTCCATAAAAGTTAAAGTTTTTAATTGGACTAAGGCAAATTTTGATGGTATGAGACAAGAACTTTCAAAAGTTGATTAGAGTAGACTGTTTGCAGATAAAAGGATGGCTGACATTTGGGAGGCGTTCAAGAGTGTGATGACAGGAGTTCAGATGCATTATATTTCTGTTAGAGTGAAGGGTAAGGCTGGTAAGATTAGGAACAATAGATGAATAAAGATATTGAGGTTTTAGTCAAAAATAAAAGAGAATCTGATTTTAGATATAGACAACTTGGTTCAATTGAGTCTCTTAATCAATATAAAGAGTGTAGGGGCATTCTTAAGAAATCAGGAAGGCAAAGAGGGGAATTTTTTTTCTTTATTCATTAACTGGATGAGGGCGTCGCTGGCTAGGCAGCATATATTGCCCATCCCGAATTGCCTAGAGGGTTGTTGAGAGTCAACCACAATGCTGTGGGTCTGGAGTCACATGTAGGCCAGACTAGGTAAGGATGGCAGTTTCCTTCCCTAAAGGACATCAGTGAACCAGATAGATTTTTCCAACAATCGACAAGGGATTGATGGTCATCATTAGGTTCTTAATTCCAGATATTTTATTGAATTCAAATTCCACCATCTGCTGTGGTGAGATTCGAACCTGGGTCCCCAGAACATTATTTGGGTCTCTTGATTAAGAGTCCAGTGATAATACCAATAGGCCATTGCCACCCCCTGATATGAGAAAGCATTGGCAGATAAGGTTAAGGATAATCCCAAGAGATTGTACAAATACATTAAGAGCAAAAGGGTAACTAGAGGGAGGGTAGGGCCTCTTAAAGATCAAGGAGGTTGTCTTTGTGTTGAATCAGAAGGGATGTGAGAGATACTAAATGACTATTTATGTTAGTTTTTACTGTGGACAAAGAAATGGAGGCTAGAGAATGCAGAGAAATAAATTTTGATGTTCTAAAATCAGTTCACGTTACAGTAAAGGAAGTTTGGGAGGTATTAGAGAAAATAAATTTGGATATTCTCCAGGACCTGACCTAAACTATCCCAGAACATTGAGGGAATTAAGGGAAGAAATTGTGAGACCCCAGGCAGAAATATTTGCATCATATGTGACTGTGGGTGAGGTGCCTGATGACTGGAGAGTGGCTAATGTTCTACATTTGTTTAAGAAAGGTTGTCAGGGGAACTGGGGAACTATAGACCTGTGAGTCTGACTTCAGTTGTAAGTAAATTGTTGGAGGTGATTATAAAAGATGGGATTTATGGACATTCAGAGAGACAAAAATTGATCAGGGATAGTCAGCATGGTTTTGTGTGAGGAAAATAGTGTCTCACAAACTTGATTGAGTTATTTGAGGAAGTTACCAAAAAAAAATTGATGAGGGCAGAGTAGTATATGTTGTTTACTTGGACTTTACTAAAGCCTTCGACAAGGTTCCACATGGTAGACAAATCAGTATAGTGAAATCACGTGGGATTCAGGGTGACTTGCCAATTGGATACATAATTGCCTTAACCGTAGGAGACAGTAATGGTGGCCGGTTGCTTTTCGCACTGGAGGCCTGTCACCAGTGGTGTTCCACAGGGATCGGTTCTGTGTCCTAATTTGTCATTTATATATTCGATTTGGATGAGAATGTAGAAGGCATGGTGAGTACGTTTGAGGACAACATCAAAATTGGTGGCACAGTAGACACCAATGAAGATTTTCTAGGAATTACAAAGGGATCTTGATCAAATGGGTCAATGGCCTGAAAAATGGCAGATGGAGTTCAATCTGGATAAATGCAAGTTATTGCATTTTGGTACAACAAACAAGGGTAGGGCTTATGCAATTAATGGTAGGGCCTTGGGGTAGTGTTGTACAACAGAGAGATTTAGGGGTTCAGCTATGTAATTCTTTGAAGTTTGCGACACATAGACAGGATGGTTAAAAAGGCATTTGGCATACTTGCCTTCATTGCTCAGTTCTTTGAGTATAGGAGTTTGGAAGTCATATTGAGGTTGTACAGGACATTGGTGATGTCTCTTCCGGAATACTGTGTTCAGTTCTGGTCACCCAGTTATAGGAAGGATATTATTAAGCTGGAGAGGGTTCAGAAGAGATTTACCAGGATGTTGCCAGGTTTGGAAGGTTTGAGTTATAAAGGAAGGCAGGAAAGGCTGGGACTTTTTCCACTGGATGTTGGAGGTTGAGAGGCAACCTTAAAGAAGTTTATAAAATAATGAGTGATACAGAAAGGGTAGTTGTCCTTTTCCGTAGGATAGGGAATTTCAAGACTAAGTGGGCACATTTTTAAGGTGAGAGGAGAGAGATTCTAAAAAGACACAAGGGCAAATGGTTTACACAGGTAGTGGTTCACATGTGGATTGAACTTCTGGAGGAAGTGGTGGATGTGGGCACAATTACAAAGTTTAAAAGACATTTGGAGAAGTACATGAATGGGAAAGGTTTGGAAGGATATGGGCCTGGAGCAGCCAGGTGGGACTAGTTTAATTTGGGATTATGTTCATCATGGACTGGTTGGACCGAAGGGTCTGTTTCCATACTGTATGACTCTATGACTCTACGTGAGTCCTAATGGTAGAGAATCTCCAGAGACTCCTTTCTCAATCTCTTTAAATGGTCAGTGAGCTCTGACACCAATTCAAAAGCGGCAATGGGTATTGTTCAGTCTATACCTTCTAACTGTACAGAATAATGCAATCTTTACTCTATTCCTAGAGGTCTGCATTCATATAAGTCTGTCTGCTTGAAGACTACCAACATGAAACTCTTGTTGGTATGGAGAGAGTTTTAGCCTACTATCACTTTGCATCAATTCCAACGCTTACATAAATGCTAATAAAACCCAGAGGAAAAAACAAAAGTATTGGAAACAAAGCTGACTACAGAAATTAAACATATTATTAGATGAAACAAGGAAGCTTACAGTGTCGCTCAGAAGTGTAGTAAGTGTAAAGATTGTGAAGTTTTTTTTAAAAAATCAACAAAGGGTTATCAATAACATTAATGAAGAGGGAAAAAGAATAAAGTTTGAGAAAGAACTACTGTTATTCCTCTGCATGTGCGAGGGCTCTGTTTCTGAGAACCCCTGTGAATGATGAAATTCACAAGTGTGGAGCTCATTTAAAATACAGGTTAAAAGTCATGCATATGCGAGTTTGCCCACGGATGTTGAATTTTGTTGCTACTTAATTTTTGGCACGGATAGGCAAACTCAGGAATCGTGATCTCACAGCTGCAGGGAGTTTACTGTAATTTGAACTTGTTTTTTAAAGAATCTCAGAGATGTCACGTATATGCCAAAATAAGAAAAAATTGTAAACATGGATCTCCTAAATGCAGGAACTGGAGAAATTAAAATTGGGAATAAGGAAATAGCAGGGACATTAAACAAATATTTGGTGCCTATCTTCACAAGGAACATTCCAGATATTGTGGGGAACAAAGGATCAAATGAAAGTGAGGAACATGAAGAAACTAATGCCAGCAAAGAAATATTGCCAGATTAATCAATGAAACTAATCTCCAAGGACTGATGGATTTTGAAAGAGGTGACAGTAGAGAATGTCCCTTGGTTCCCCAAAGAATTGAAATGCAGCAAATATAAACCTGTTCTTCAAGAAAGAAGAGAATAAAAAAAGTGGGGAACTGCAAGATTTGATTGGCCTGAAATCAGGATTGTGAGGAATGCCAGAATCCATTAATACAGATATAATGACAAAGCACTTGAAAAATTGCAATAAAATTAGATAGCATCAGTATGATTTTATGAAGGGAGATCATGTTTGAAACATATATTGGATACTTTTGAAGTTATAACTTGCAAGGTAAATAACAGGAAATCATTATATGTATTTGAATTTTCAGAAGACTTTCAATAAGGAGCCATGCAAAAGGTTGTACTCAAGTTAAAGGCTAATTAGATTGTGGGTTAGTATGTTGGAATCGATAAAGAGTTGGTTAATTGACACACAACAGAGGATGGATAAATGGGACGTTTTCAGGATGGAATCATATTATGTTGGAGATTTACCACAAAGATATGTTTTTCTAGCCTCAGCTATTTATAATGTATATTAATTACTGAGGTGAGAGGACCTGTTACATGTGTAATAGATTCATATTCACTGACAACATAAAGATACCTGGAAAAGCATGATGGGATGGAAAGAGAGATTTAGAGGATTAAAACAGATTAAATGATTGGGTGAGAAGATCGCTAATGAAGTCTAACTTGGTGAAGTATGATATTTCCCACCATGACAAGAAGAATGGAAGTAGTGGAACATTTTTTAAAACTGAGAATAGGTAAAGCTGGCAGATAGAGTTCATTGTGGGAAAGTCTGAGGTCATCCACTATGGATCTGAGAAGGATTAAACAGAATATTTTGTGAATGATGAGAGTCTAGGAAGTGAAAAGGGTTTTACTGCACACTGAAAGCTATAGAGTAGGTATATGCATTAGCAGACCAATGGCAGTTAAATATGAACACGGGACTTTTGGAAGTAAATGTGATGAAAGCTCTTGGAATCCAACCAGGTAGAGTTGGTAATGTTACCACACTGTGACACACACACATGGGTGCAAACTTGTGAACATAGTTATGTGCAAGCAAACATACATGCTCTGGTATAAGTACAACACAAGTCTCTCCAACATACCCTGTGTATTCTGCATGCATTGCAGAAGAAAGAAAATTAGCAAGTTCTGGACATCAAAACAATGCCATAAAATCCTGTTCTGAAGAAGCGTCATATCGGACTTGAAACATTAACTTGGTCGCACTCTCCAGAGATGCTGCCAGACCTGCTGCGTTTCTCAAGCACCTCCTGTTTTTATTTCACATCCTTGTATCTGTTAGCGCTGAAAGTTCACATTTGCATCTAAGAACTAATTACCAGAACCAACAGAAGTCTCAAGAATAACTCTTTTTTTGCAATTTAGATGCTGATCTGTGGATCTGGAGTTGTACGTCTAGAGTTGTCCACTTTTATTTTCTTGCAGACATTTCCTCAGTATGTGTATGGGTGTGTTTTCCAGCTAATGTTTTATATCTATGCACCTTTCTGTCCCAAATTAACTGTCTGCTTCTATCATAAAGAGTGCACTACATTGTGTTGAAGGCTGAATGGGAATTCTGAAAAGATCATTTCGTAACAGAATTGAGGAAGATTGAACACAAATTACCTACTCACCTGTACACAGAGTGGAACAAGATTTCTTCAGTTGGGTTCAACTCCTTGGTTTGCAATTCCAGTTTACACAGAAGGAAACGAGTGGTCAACAGTCTGGAAAAGCTGACCAGAGATGGGTTGCCACTCATTTTAAATGCTTTTTTCCAAAAGTTGTCAACTTTATCCCAGAGAGCTTCCTTTTTGTTGCTGAGGGATTTACAGAAAATTTATCTCTGATGCTCTTGGATTTAGAGTCTTTTCCCCCTTTGACCTTAGTGCAATGAAATTAAGAGCAGAGCCTTCCAAAAGCTGGAATTGGGCTCAAATGTAGTCTTCCTGTGTGAATGCCAGGAACAACAGCTGTCGCATTCTTCGAAAATCTGGAGGCTTTGTGCAGAAGCAAAGCTTTCCACAGCCGTTCTCCTCCCTGTGAGCCAGGTTTATACAGACGGATATGATTCCTGTAACTGTTGTCCGTATATGCAGAGATTCAATTGAGCAGCAAACCAGTCACAGAATGAGCCACTCTTCCCAGAACTAGACAAAAGTACAATTTTAGAATGAGAACCAGGCTGTTGGATTGAAGTCAGCAAGCACTTCTTCATACTAAGAGTGAAAATCTGGAACTATTTGCCCTGAAATGTTGTTGAGACTGGCGGTAGGGGACAATTACAAAATTTTGACAGAATTTTGTGAGGCAAGAATGACTGAGTCATGGTGAGTAAGTGGGGTTCGGATACAGAACAGCCATAATTTAACTGAATTAGAGTACCGGTTGCAGGATTGAATGGCCTCCTCTGTTTCCAGTGTGCCATACTGCATCTCCATATCTCTCCTGGCAATTATTGGGTAGATTTGTCAAGTTGTTCCGTATTGGAGATATTTTCAACTGCACGGACTGGTGCTGAGAAGAACGAGTTGTTTAATTTGAGAAGTTTTCACAATAATGGGCAAAAGCAGCGGGAGTGGAATTAATTGGATAGCTATTTCAAAGAACCAACCCGTGCATTGCAGGCTGAATGGCCTCCTCTGATGTAACAGGAAAAATTCCTTTTTGTAGATGAATGTCAGAATCATATTAGTTCATAGAAAATGTTGCTCATTCACACAAGTGCACTGCTGTTATCACAAAGGTTTTCTTAATGCACTTTTCACAACCTCATAATGTTTCAAAATTTTTTGTAGCCAATGAGGTCATTGGAAGTGTAGCCACCACAGGAAGTGCAACAGCTCATTCACATAGAAAGCTCAAACAAGCATTTGACCTTTGGGGGAATTCACTTGAGCTTCTTCAAATAGTGCTGTGAAACCTTTTGCACCTACATAATGTGGAATAATTTGGTTTAATATCTAATTTGAAAGGTGGCTTCTCTGACACTAGAGCACTTCTTAAGTGCTGCACTAGGAGTGGTAGCCTTGATCCTTGTGCCAATGTCACTGGAGGGGAACTTAACTCATAAAACTCAGACTCAGGGTTAGCACACTCACCTTAGAGCTTTGGAAAATTTTTCTTAGTTACTTCCAAGGAGTTACTAACCATTGCAAACAAATTTACTTAATACCTCCCAGCCTTTTCAAAATAAGGGACAAGTGATTTCCTAAGGACCAGTTGGTTTAATGTGTTTACTACTTCACACTCTGCAATTTCAATGCATCTGTGTCGCTATTGAGCAACTTACTTCTGCTGTTCAACTAAAATTTATATGATTTATCCGGTCCTGAGGTGATAGCATCTTTTGACTTGGTTTTTTAAAAATTTCACGGCAGTAACTGATCAAGTGTTGAAGCCGTGGGATTTTCTGACACAATTTCCCATCTGGTTCATGTGCTTGAGTGTGAGAGGCTGCTTTTATTATTTGTTTGCAACTCTGCTTAACCTCATTTATTGAGACACTGTCTGAAACAATGCTGTTCATTTGTGTCTTTATGGTTACTTAGGTGTTCATATGAAGAGTCTGGTTGCCATTCTCCACCTGTTGGTTGCAGTTTCCCAATACTTCAGGGCACCAATCCGACTCCCGGATCACGTCTCTGTTCAAGTGGTGGTTGTCCAGGTAAGTGACTACCAGAAAGGAAACCTCTGAAGGGTGAGATAACAAGGTGTAGAGCTGGATGAACACAGCAGGCCAAGCAGCATCAGAGGAGCAGGAAAGCTGACGTTTCATGTTAACTGAAATGTTAATTCTGCTTTCTCACCACAGATGCTGCCAAACTTGCTGAGTTTCTCCAGATCTTAACGTTTCAGAAATCTTTCTGAAGAAGGGTCCAGACCCGAAACATCAGCTTTCCTGCTCCTCTGATGCTGCTTGGCCTGCTGTGTTCATCCAGCTCGACACCTTGTTATCTCAGATTCTGCACGTCAGCAGCTCCTCCTGTCTCTGAACCTCTGAAGGGTGTTATGTCTAATACTGACAGAGTCAAGATGTACAATTGGTCTGGGAATTTTCAGGAATAGAGTGAAAATTAAATTAATGTTTGACTTAGAAGTGTTGATTTGAATTTGTTGCAACAACAGGAAGGGTCTGGAAAATGAATCAGCTACCCATTAGATCACTTGATCTGAGTTAATTATTTATACTGGACCCATAATGTGTGCATCGATGGCAAAGACTAAATCATATTTCTTTTGTATTTCTGAGGAAGGGTCACCAAAGCCAAAACGTTAACTCTGTTTTCTCCTTCACAGATGCTGCCAGACCTGCTGAGCTTTTTCAGCAACTTTGTTTTTGTTCGTATTTCTTCTGAGTAGGAGTCAATTCTGGATCTTAGCAATGTAATGAAACAAAGAACTGCAAGTTGCTGAAAATCTGAAACGAAACAAAAACCATAATTGCTGGCGGAATTCAGCAGGTCTGGCAGCACCTGTGGAAAGAAAGAACAATTAACATTTCGTCCAGTGACCCTTCTTCAGAACGCAGTTGCTGGATCCAAAATGTTAACTCTGCTTTCTCACGACCAATGCTGCCAAACTTGCTGAGTTTCTCCAGATCTTAACAACCTCCCTAAAAAGGTTTCTCCTCATTTTCCCTCTAATCCAAAGAGTTTATATCTGCCAACCCGCTAGCCTGAAGGGAGTTACTGTCTGCTACATCACACGTTTATAATACTTTTTGTCGGCCTCCCTTATCCTTCACTGTTGAAGGAGAAGAACCCCAGTCTCGCCATATAACAAAAGCACCTCATTCCTGATACCTTTCCAGTAAAACTCCTCTGGACCTTCTCCTTTATTGGAGTGTACTGTCAAAATTATACAAAATTCTCCTGCTGAGGTCTAACCAATGAAAGGTACTGCTGCATTTTACAAAAAAAACGTTGAATTTCTGAGATAACAAATTTCTGAACCAGTTTATCTATTTGTCAAGGTTTGTACCATCTGCCAACCTTGCAGTTGTACACCACATACCCAAAGCCGGGTCATTTATGCAAACTTAATTTAGATAAATATGAAGTGTAGCATTTTGGAAAGGCAAATCAGGGCACGACTAATACGCTTAATGGTAAGGTCCTGGGGAGTGTTGCTGAACAAGAGACCTTGGAGTGCAGGTTCATAGTTTCTTGAAAGTGGAGTCACAGGTAGACAGGATAGTGATGTCGGTATTTGGTATGCTTGCCTTTATTGGTCAGTGCATTGAGTTTTGGAGTTGGGAAGTCATGTTGAGGCTGTACAGCACATTGGTTAAGCCACTATTGAAATATTGCATGCAATTCGGATCTCCCTACTATAGGAAAGATATTGTGAAACTTGAAAGGGTTCAGAAAAGATTTACAATGATGTTGCCAGGTTTGGAGGGTTTGAGCTACAGGGAGACACTGAATAGGCTGGGGCTATTTTCTCTGGAGCATCGGAGGCTGAGGGATGACCTTTAGAGGTTTATAAGATCATGAGGGGTTTGGATAGGGTGAATTGCCAAGGTCTTTTCCATGGGGTGGGGAGTCCAAAACTAGAGGGCATAGGTTTAAGGTGAGGGGGAAAGATTTAAAAGGGCCCGAAGGGGCAACTTTTTCATTGAGGGTGGAGGCTGGTACAATTACAATATTTTAAAAGGCACCTGGATGGTAATATAAATAGGAAGGATTTAGAGGGACACGGGCCAAATGCTGGCAAACGGGACTAGATTAATTTAGGATATCTGATCGGCATGGACAAGTTGGACCGAAGGGTCTGTTTCCATGCTGTACATCTCTATGATTCTACGAAAAGAGAATCAGTTCCTTTGTGGGAAGGAGGAGAGAGAATCACTGCATTCTTAGGAAGGGTGGGGTGAGAATAGGTAGAGCTGCAGAAGGGTTCATTATGAATGGATTAGAAAGTGACAGTGAGAATTTTAAAATGGTGATATTGTTGGATTGGAAGCCAGTGTATCTTAGCATGATGGAGAATGGGACTTGGTGGAATTTGGGGTTTAGGGGTACTGATTGTTTCAAACATTGACTGTTTTTAACTTATTTCTTTCCCACAGAAAAGAGAGGGAATTCTGCAGTCTCGGCATATCCAAGAAGAAATCACTGGCAATACTGAGTATGTAAACACAGTTGTTCTGTAATCGAAGACAGATGTAAAAGTTTGACACGTGATTGCTAATCTGTGTTCTGTTAACTGTACGGGGAGCTCAGCAGTTTCTGCAAAAGCCAAGGAAAATAGAGCTGGCAGTTCTCAAAATCTCACAGTAAATCAAAACATCTCCAAAAGGAAAGCTGCTGAGAATGAAAACCTTTCAAAACATCCAGTAATTCCCAGAAAAGTTATCCCAAGAGCTTGTCAGCAGGGTATTTTTAGGCTCTCTCTCAGTTTGCTTCCTCCCCACCCCTGTCTCACTGTACAGTCACTAAAATGTTGCACATTTTCCTCACGAGAAGTTTGTCTATTTTAATTTTATGGAATGAAATGTAAAAACTGTGCTTGATTCTGCTTTTGCTGATTTGAGCCGAAATGAACTACAAACCTCAGAGTAGAGTTTGTGGGTCAGATGTCTTGAACCACTGCAGTATGTGTGGTGTAAGGTACATTCACCATGCCGTTAGGGATGGAATCCTAGGATCATGATCAACTTAAGTGGATATTTGTGACATAGCTTTTGGATGCATGCTTAGTGCTATTCCTTGACACACATCAAACACACTCCCATTGTAACCTGCAGATCCGGTTTTGAGAGGCTCAATTGTTCTCTTTAAAGCAAGATGTTTAGAGGGAGAGAGGTGTTCAAAATTATGTTTATTGACCATCCCTAGTTGCCCTTGAGAAGGTGTTGGTGAGCTGCTATCTTGAACAGCCATATTTCATGTGCTGTGGGTAGACCCACAATGCCCTTAGGGGAGAGTATTCCAGGATTTTGACCCACGAACAGTTAAGAAACGGTAATACATTTCCAAGTCAGGATGGTGAGTGGCTTGGAGAGGAACTTACATTCCCATGTATCTGCTGCCCTTGTCCTTCTAGAAGTGGTTGTTGGGTTTGGAAGATGCTGTCTTTGGTTAATTTCTGCAGTGCATCTTGTCGATAGTACACACTGCTGCTACTGAGTGTAGGTGGTGGAGGGAGTGGATGCTTGTGGATGTAGTGCTAGTCAAGCGGGCTGCTTTGTCGTGGACGGTGTCAAGCTTCTTGAGTGTTGTTGGGGCTGCACTCATCCAGGCAAGTGGGGAGTATTCCATCACATTCCTGACTTGTGCCTTGTAGATGGTGGTCAGGCTTTGATGAGTCAGAAGATGAATTACTTGCTACAGTATTCTTAGCCTCTGACTTGTTTTTGTAACCACAACAACACGGTGGCTCAGTGGATAGCACTGCTGCCTCACAGCACCAGAGATCCGGGTTCGATTCCACCCTTAGGCGACTGACTGTGTGGAGTTTGCACATTCTCCCCATGTCTGCGTGGGTTTCCTCCAGGTGCTCCGGTTTCCTCCCACAGTCCAAAGATGTGCAGGTTAGGTGGATTGGCCATGCTAAATTGCCCATAGTGTTCTGGGATGTGTAGATTAGGTGGGTTATAGGTGGATGGGTCTGGGTGGGATGCTCCGTGGGTCAGCGTGGACTTGTTAGGCTGAAGGGCCTGTTTCCACACTGTAGAGATTCTATGAATGAACTACTGTGTCCATATGGTGAGTCCACTTGAGTTTCTGGTCAATGGTAACGCTCAGGATGTTGATAGTGGGGGAATTCAGTGATAGTAACACCATTGAAAGTCACAGAGCGATGGTTAGATTGTCTGTTATACAAGGTAATCATTGCCTGGCATTTGTGTGGCATGACTATTACTTGCCACTTGTCAGCCTAAGCCTTGATATTGTCTAAATCTTGTTACATTTGAACATGGACTGTTTCAGTATCTGAGGGGTCGCAAGTGATGCTGGACATTGCGCAATCATCAGTGAACATCCCCACTTCTGACCTTATGATGGAGGGAAGGTCATTGATGAAGCAGCTGAAGATGGTTGGGCCTAGGACACTTTCTTGAGGAACTCCTACATAGATGTCCTGGAGCTGAAATGACTAACCTCCAACAACCACGACCATCTTCCTATGTGTCAGGTCTGACTCCAACCAGCAGTGAGTTTGCCCCCTGATACCCATTAATCCCAGTTTTGCTAGGGCTCCTTGATGCCACACTCAGTTGAATGCAACCTTGATGTCAGGGGCTGTCACTCTCACCTCGCCTCTGGAATTCAGCTCTTTTTGTCCATGTTTGAACTAAGGCTGTAATGAGGTCAGGAGCTGAGTGGTCCTGGTGGAACCCAAACTGGGCATCACTGAGCAGGTGCTGCTTGATAGCACTGTTGATGACAACTTCCATCACTTTACAGATGATCAAGAGTGGACTGATGGGGCGGTAATTGGCTGGGTTGGATTGTTCTGTTTTTTGTGTGCAAGACATTCCCAGGCAATTTTCCACATTGTTGCGTAGTTGTTGTAAAAGTTAAAAGAGGGTAAGAATCCAAAACCAGTCATTCTGGTGCTGGTGTACAGATAGAAGATATCAGTGTCAATTGGCAAGAATCTGACAGAGTGAGTTAGAGGTGGCCAGTCTCTATCCTTCACCATGATGTGAAGGTGCTGGTGTTGGACTGGGGTGGACAAGGTCAGAAGTCACACAACGCCAGGTTATAGCCCAAAAGGTTTATTTGAAATGACAAGCTTTTGGAGCACTGCTCCTTCATCAAGTGAAGTCAGCTTATGAAGAAGCAGTGCTCCCTAAAATCAATCAATCAACTATAACCTGGTGTTGTGTGACTTCCAGTTTTCACCATGCAGATTGTAGGCAGGAATTCATGCTTGGATTGAAGAGATCAAATTGGGAGGATTTAAGTAAGACTCTTGTGACTCTGTGAGAGGAGAACTCTCCAGGTGACTCTTTCACCATGTCAGTCAGCTTGGGATTTGAAGTTACTTAGCTGGAAAAGGAAACAAGCCACTGGGAACTTCAAACTGGTTCCAGGAAAATGACATGCCCACTTAAGGGACAAAGTATAATCATACAGTGGAACTTCTGATCATTTCAAAAGTTCAGTGAGGGATCTTTTGTGTTGTTTACAGTATGAGTTGCCTACTGAATAGTCTTAGTCAAGTTCTCTTTTGGTTGGTTTATTACAGTAAGAACCTTGTCATGTGATTCCTCGAATCAAGTTGCTGGATATTCAATTCTTTTTTCAAATGTTTTTGATTTCTTTGGGGATTGTAAAATACTGCACAGCTGGAAATACTGCCTTTCAAATGTTAACCTGAGTCCCTGTATCCTTGAGTCAAGGATCTCTCCTCATTGCGCCATGTGAAGTTACAGGTGAGCTTCCTGTTTGAACTGTTGCAATCTGTATTGTGTGTGAGTTTACACAGTGTGCTGCTGGGAGAGAGACTTACAGCACTTCCACTGAGCAATAATGAAGGAAGTCATGTGGATCCAAGTAAGGCTTGAATGTATTATGGAGTCTCCACTTGCGAAATGCAGAATAAAATTATTTCTAACACGTGTTTTATGTTTGATTGCAGAGCTTTGTCAGGGAGACATGGTAAGTGTTCCATGATTTTCTGAATACTCTTTGGGCTGTTTAGTTGAGCATTTGTTTTTTTTTTCCCGGTGCGTTTCCACATTTTTTGACATGATTATTGCACTGAGTTGCTGGACTTCGATGCTGGGGATTTAGCAGAATACAATTCCCACCGATCCTCTTTCCCTAAAGACAGAATAAAAAGAGATCAGTAAATCCCAGCTCTCAGCTTCACACCACAAAGTTAATGCTACATGTGATCAGTGCCCAGATGTCTGGAGTAAAGGGTTAATTATGCATTTAGTCTAGGAATAGCAAATAGCATAAGCATAAGCAAAAGCAGTTATGTCGTGTTGATTTCAGAACACATGGAAGTGGATCCTGAATCTGCACATTTCCAGGAAGATGTTCTTTCTTACCATCTCTTCTGTAGAGTTATGTTTAATTAAGCTTGTTAACGTTCACTCACAAGTGGAGCCCTGAACTTATTGCAGGATGGTGTGCTAGTCTTGTTTCCAAATGTGGAGGAAATCTTATTTAGGAGCTTGAAGTAATCTCATTGAGATGCTTACAATGGTAAATAGAGAAGGTGCAGACAAACTATTTCCTCTGGTGGGGGAGTCTGGGATAGCTGAGTAGAACCTTTAAAATTAGAGTTATTCCATGTTAGATTGATGTGAGAAAGCAATTATTTTCAAAGGGCCATGGAAAACAACTAAAACCAAGTTCTGAAGAATCACATTGGACTCAAAACAGCTGGACCTGCTGAGCTTCCCCAGCAACTTTTTTATTTATGTGGAAATCAACCTGTCAACCTCACACTCTGATAAAATACCCTTAAAACGTATCTCTTTACCAGGTTTGGTCACGTATCCTAATGTCTCCTTTCCTATTTGAGGGCCAGATTCTGCCTGATCTATGCTCTTATGAAATGTCTTGAGTTGTGTTGCATGTTTCAGATACAAAGGGGAATTTTCAACGTTCTGTGATTTTTACAATCCTGTCTTGCTTGCCCCATGTGTAACTCTGTTCAACCTCTTTCAGAAAGGGATGCCTTCGATACTCTGTTTGATCACGCACCAGACAAGCTCAATGTTGTCAAAAAGGTTTGATATACTTTTACTTGTGTGAACTGTTGTGACTTCCATGCAATTATAAATTGGACGTGGAGAGATGGCGCAGAGTATCCACCAAATAAAATACTTCATTAAGTAACAAGGTGTAGAACTTCATGAACACAGCAGGCCAAGCAGTATCAGAGGAGCAGGAAAGCTGACGTTTCGGGTCTAGACCCTTCTTCAGAAAAACGTCAGCTTTCCTGCTCCTCTGATGCTGCTTGGCCTGCTGTGTTCATCCAGCTCTACACCTTGTTATCTCAGATTCTCCAGCATCGGTAGTTCCTACTATCTCTACTTCATTAAGTAATTTGGTGAATAGATGCAATGGATTCATGGCATTTTCTGAATACTCTGGAGACTGAGGTATGAATGTGGTAATCAATCTCTTGAATCTCCAAGAACTCGGTTCAATTTATTTGCATTTTTTCTCACCAACTGGATTGCCTATTTAAATTTTCATGCAGTTGAAGCTAAATAGTCAATTTTGACAGGGTATTACGTTAAAGCCACCAAGATTGAGTCTGGTCCCACCTGATACCTATGTATATGCACTCTCCAGCATTCATAAACAAATGCTTACGTGCATCTTCACTTGTTCAATCAAACACATACATGTACACATGGAACATGCAGACAGCAGTGCGTAAGTGCTCATGTGGACATGTCCCCAAATACACATGCTCATACATAAATGAAGTTAAAATTTGATCGAGTCTTTCATCCCCAATACAGGTTTTAGGAAGGCTTGTGTCAATTTGGTGGGTTAGGCTACAGAACTAACAATGACGAAAATGAGATTTCAAATCCCAGCTTTGCAGCTCGAAAATTCTTAATTTAACTTTTTCCTAAAATCTGAAAATCATACATTGCAGATTTTAATAAACATGACAGTTAAGCTGTTGGATTGTTTTAAAGAATTAAATGATCCATTCCCATTAATTGATTTCCTTTAGGGGACTCAGCTTGCAATCCTTAACTGGCCTGTGTCCACATGTAATTCCAGACATAGCAAGCTTTCAATTGTGTGAAATCTGTTACCAATGGTTTAAAAAGGAGACTTAGTGCTACTACGCAGGGAAACTGGCCAATGATAACGAGCAATAAATGGCAGTCTCACAAACAGCATCCAAACCTAGAAAATGAATATTTAGAAGGATTATAAATTGAGCTGCTTTTTTTTAAACTTGTGTTCACAAAGCACCTTTTGACCTCTAGATGTCCCCAGGTGCTTTGCAGTCAGAAACGGCAATGTGATATTGTGTGAGTTGTCTGATTTTAATTGTTAGATTGGGGATAACTATTGACCAGGGCACAGCTATGTCACCTGGGAGACGCTGCTTAGATACTGGGTACCTCTGCCTTTGCCAATTTTATCCTAATCCAGTGCAGTGTGGCTGTAGATGTTGTGGATCTTGACTCAGTAAAATACATCAAACTGAGAGGCACCTCCTGCATGGCAATAGGATTTGAAGTGAGTTACTGTGTTTTCTCTCGACAGACACTGATCACATTTGTGAATAAACATCTGAACAAATTAAACCTGGAAGTTACAGAATTAGAGACACAGGTAAGTAGAATGTTGAACCCACAGGACAGATTGTGTTAGAGCAAGACATTAGACGGAAGACGCGTTTGATGGTAGCATGAGTTTGGGCCTCTGCAGGTTCCTTATTGACAGAAGCAATTACTTCCAGAAGAGCTTGTAACCTGTTATGGGACACGACAACTAGGTGAAGTGCTGCCATTGACTTCAACTGTGCAGGACACTGCTGACATGGATGTTGCGTCTACAGATATTGCAGCTCCATATATGAATCCCTCTGTTTGCTAAGTCTGGCCTCCATGTTGTGTCCCACAGACTCCTGTCCCACTCTCACCACCAGCCAGCACATGGATCACTATCCTTTTGGAATCCTGTTTCAGCTTCAGTCAGTGAGCTAGGGGATATAGTCAGTCACTGAATGGAATTATACCCAGCATGGGTCAAACAGTTATGGAGCCTTGAGCGCACAATTCAAGCTGACACTCCAGTGTCTGAGGTGCCAACTTGAGAATGGGACATTAAGCTCCTTTCCAGTCTGCCCACAAAGGTAGAGATAAAAGATTGCACGACCACTATTTTGAAGAGCAGAGAAGTTCTGCTTAACGTACTGGCTAATATTTAATCAATATCTCATTGCTGTTTTGTGGGAGAGTGCTCAGCCAGTTGACTGTAGCCATTCACAATGTTACAGACTGAACAGCAGTGACAGGAGTAAACAAAAACAAAAAACTGCTGGAAAAACTCAGCAGGTCTGAAGAACTGAAGAAAGGTCACTGGACCCGAAATGTTAGCTCTGCTTTGTCTCCACAGATGCTGATAGATCTGTTGAGTTTTTCCAGCAATTTCTATCTTTGTTTCTGACGTCCAGCATTCACAGTTTCCCTGGTTTTGGTTTGAGCAATGACAGTAGTTTTTGTTAAGATGGCCTGAAGATTCTACATCAGTAAAAGTTTATTTTTCTTCCTTTTAAATCATTCCATTGATTGGATGATCAACAAATATTTTGCACTCATTTTAATTTATTTGATTTTCTTTTCAGATGAGCTAACTGACCATGGCACCATAATACAGAAAGCCATTCAAGAGAAGGGAATAAGAAGGAATGTAGTGATAATAGGGGACAGTATAGTGAGGGGGATTTTGCTGGAAAGAGTGAGAGTCCAGGCACCTATACTGTCTACCCAATGTCAGCATTCAGGATATTTGCTTAGGGCTGGAGGGGAACCTGCAGTGAAATTGGGACAATCCAGCATCTTTATCTATGTAGGTACCAATGACATAGCCAAGATAAAAAGGAAGTTCTGCAAAAGTCAGTATTTGGAGTAGGCAGCAAATTAAGAAACAGAATCACAAAGGTCATAATCTTGGTATTATTATCTATGCCACATGCTTTTACTAGACATCAAATCAGATTAGAGAGATGAATGTGGCTCAAAAGACTAGCGTGGGAGAAGTGAGTTCTGGTTTGTGGGGCTCTGGCATCGGTACTGAGGAACGTCGAATCTATACTGTTGGGACTGTCTTTATCTGAACCATACTGGGCCAGTAAGGATTTAAGACTAAATAGTGCAAACGAGGGATCAAATTGGGAAAGATATGGTAAGTCAAAGAGAACAGTATTAATATGGGAACAGACTGTGACAGGAAGGGATAGAGAGGAAATATCTGAGACAATTGATGGATGAGACTAGAATTTACAAAAAAGAGTAAACAGATAAAACTAAAGGTGTCTATCTAAATAGATATAGCATTTGAAACACAACAGGTGACCTGAAGAGACAAATAGAAATTAATACGTTTGATTTGGTTGCCATTGAAGAGTCAGAGCTGCAGGATTTGAACCTCATTTTAAAGGACATGGGACATTTAGGAATGACAGGCAACCAAGAAAAGGTGGGGGGAGTGGCTATGCTAGTTAATTGCTGTTAGTGCAATAGAGAGGGATGACCCAAGTACAGGAAATTCAGATGTGGAAACAGTTTGGGTAAATGATAAAGAAGTCACTTTTGTGAGTGATGTACAGGCAACCTAACAGTAACAACGCTGTAGGGTGGAGCGTAATGGAAGGAATTATGAAAGCTTCTTAAAAAGGCATGTGATAATCCCGAGGATCTTAATCTATACATAGACTGGAAAGATCAGATGGACGAAAGTGGCCTTGATGAGTAGTTCATGCAATATTTTCAGCATAGTTTCTTAAAACAGCATGCTCTGAAATCTAATCATAGAACAGGCCATACTAGACATGGTATTAATTAATGATTTCATAGTGAAGCATTCTTAGTGACTGCATTTTATATTCAGTTTAAGGGAGAGAGGAGTTGTTCAAGATCATCTTTAAATATTTTAAAAAGGGCAATTATGAAGACATGAAAGGAGAGCTGGCTAAAGTGATTAGGCAAATTTGGTTAAAGGCTAGGTTAATAGAGATGCAATGGGAGCCATTTCCGAATAAATGAAAGAGGTGCATTCTAATGAGTAAGAAAAATTCCAGGGGATGAATACACCATCCATTTTAAAAATATTATTGAATTTAAAAGCAAAAATATAATTATGCAAAATGATGGGAAAATGAATAAGGGAAAAATTAAAGCATGAGGAGAAACTAGCCAGTAATATAAAAATAGACAGTAAGAGTTTCAATAAGTATTCAACAAAGAAAAGAATTGAGGTGGGTTGATAGAAAGTGAAAATGGAGAATTAATAATGGAAAATGAAGGAAATGGCAGATGAATTGACCACCCATTTTGCATCAGCCTTCACTGTAGAGGATTTAAGTAACACTCCAGAACAGCAACAAATCAGGAAATGGAAGACAGGGATAAACTCCAGAAAATCTCAATCGCCAGAGAAATGGTACTGAGTAAATTGTTGGAGCTATGAGCTGATTGGATCTGGGTCCTGATGGACTCACTCCTAGTATCTTAAAGAAGTCATGAGTGAGATGCACTGGTTTTAATTTTCTAGAACTGACTTGATTCTGGGTAAGTCCCAATAGTTTGGAAGATTGTGAATGCTTTACTTACAAGAGGAGACAAAAGGCAGGAAACTACAGTTCAATTAATTAAGATCTGTCACAGGCAAAATATTAGAAACTATTACTAAAGAAGCTAGAATCATGGAATCCCTATAGTGTGGAAGCAGGTCATTCAGCTGATCGAGTCTACACCAACCTTCTGAAGAGCATCCCACCCAGACCCACCTCTGTACCGAATCCCTGTAATTCTGCATTTCCCATGGCTAATCCACGTAGCCTGCACGTCCCTGGATACTATGGGCAATTTAACATGGCCAATCCACCTAACCTGCACATCTTTGGACTGTGGGAGGAAACCAGAGCACCAGGAAGAAATGTATAAAATCCTGAAAGGTCAAAAGAGTGTAGATATGGAGTCGATGTTTCCTTTCATGGAAAAATCTTAGAACAAGGGTCATTGTCTACAAATCGGAGTCATCCATTTGAAAGTGACATGAGAAAAGATGTTTTCTCAGAGTTTCAAGTCTTTAAAACTCTCTTCCTGAAAAGATAGTGGAAACAGAGATCTGGAATATTTTTGAGGCAGAGTTTTTTGTATTCTTGTTAAGCAAGGGGAAGAAAGATTGACCAGACACAGACAAGAATGAGGATTTGAGGTTACAATCAGATTGCTCATGATCTTCCTGAATGACAGAGCCAGCCTGAGAGGGTGAATAGCCCACTCTTATTCCTAATTTGTATGACATCCGTTTTTTTTTCTCAGTAACTATTGCTCATCCTGTAATTTAGTGACAATTTTAGAATGTGGAGTTTAGTCACCTTTTGACCAGGCGGGTTAATTTCCTGATAAACGTAAAAGAATCAGTTTGTGTTTTATGTCTTTTTTTCTTCACTGGTACCAGCTCATAATTAGCAAATTTAATTTACAAATAAAACTTGCTTTGAATGCACAGCCTCTGGTTTGGTCCCAGGGCCGGCTACATTTATCACACTGACAGCTACAATGTGGATGAGACAGTTGTCTCTTCATTTCATTGGGTCTTTGCATCATGATATTTTCAATAGCCCTGATTATCATAACAGGGAAATATTTGGACAGCTAGGTGCCGGTGTTTATGTTCCACACAAGCATCTTCCCACTTAATTTCATATCATTCAATCAATATCCCTTTCTAGACCTTTCTCCCTCACAGTTTTCCTGTTGTATCTGTGATTTTCAACCCAACCACTCCTTGGTCGAGCGAGTTTCATGTTCTGATCACTCTCTTGGATATAGGAATTTCCTCTGAATTCATGATTGGTTTTATAAGTGAGCACCTTATACTTATGGTCCTCACCCCCAGGGTTTTGACTTCCTCCGCTTATGAAAATGTTTTCTGTATGTTACCTTGTCCAATTCTTTCTTAATCTTAATGTCTATCAAATCACCTTCAGTCTTCAGTTTGCTGGAGAAAAGAACCTCAGTCTGTGCATCTTTTTGTGATGGTTCAATCGTCTTGATCTTTCTTCATCCTTTCTCCAGTGCCTTTTCTTTTTAATAAAACACAGATCAATGTACATGGTACGTTTGGGTATCATTTAAACAGGGTTCTTCGTAAGATTTTGGGATTTTTCCTGAGGCACAAGACTGGAAGTGAACTACAGTAGTTGAATATGACATTTATCATTTAGAAATCGCATTGTCTTGAAAGATCTGATTGTCATTTCAATTCACCCTCAATGTGGGAATCCCATGCAGGCCTAGAATTCTTAGTGTCCCTTTGAGAAAGTCCTAATGGCTGAGGTGGTTCTTTGATCTTATTTGAAGCAGTCTGTAGTAATGGTGGGCCCATTTTTGTGTTCATCTCTTGATGCCTTCTAACCTGTGCACATATTGATGTCTTGATTAAACTCTCCCTTACAGTTTGCAGATGGTGTCTACTTGGTGCTCCTTATGGGACTCGTTGGGAACTATTTTATACCTTTGCACAACTTCTTTCTCACCCCAGACAGCTTTGAACACAAGGTAAATATTTATTTCATCTTTATTATGAAAAAGAAACCAAAAGGACCTGACTGTAGCTTGACAAGAGGGTGAATTTGTTTTTGTTTTTGCTGGACAAAGAAGATTTGGAACAGTGGTCCACACTTGAGCCACTTCCTGTTTATCCTGTAGCTCTGAAAGTGCCCTAGTCCAACCAAAACCTAAATGCTTGTTGCCTTATGCTCAATGCCTGATTGAGCTGACCACTTTTAAGAAAGCAAGAAATAGGAACAGGAACAGAAGCCAGAACAGACCATTCAGCTCATCAAGTCTACTCCACCATTTAATAAGATAACAACCGATCTTCTCTCCCTGAACTCCATTTCTCTACTTGATCATGAAATTCTTTGATTCTCTTAATGCCCAAAAATTTATCAACCACATCCTTGAAGGGACAGGACTTGATTGGAGCTTGGCATTCGCAGCAAATGCTCAACTCTGGGTTCACCAAGGCGTGCTCTGATTCTATTGGAGAGGAACATTAAGCACATACTCTGAATCGTGGAGAGTGACAATGGGGAGGGGAGCAAATCACGATTGAGTTTTTGAACCTGCAGCCTGAAATTTATTTCAGCTGTTACCACTGATGAGTCCCAATATTAGAGAGAGCTAATGTTTCATAAATATATGCCAGTTGTATGGTTTGGATTGAAATGGAGCACATGTAAAACACATTATAAGATGAACTTATTTCACTTTTAATCCAGAACCCACACCATCCTTAATTTGTTTCAAAAGCACTTTAAAACAGTCTGAAGAGCTGAGGTTAATGATATTCACAGGACTGAAATTAAACCCAGTGGACCAAAGATTGTTTATTTCTTGTCCTTTTTCTCCCTCTCTCTAACAGGTCCATAATGTGTCCTTTGCATTTGAGCTGATGCAGGATGGAGGTTTGGAGAAACCGAAGCCTCGATCGGAAGGTATGTATGATGTTGTTTCCAGCACATTGCAAACCTATAATCCATACACATCATATTATCTCTGTAAACCTTTCTCCCTATTCGATCTAGTTTATAATTATAAAGCTGTAACTCTCTCAAAATTAAACAATTGGCAAAAGAAACAGAAGAAAGGGATAAGAAGTAAGATGTGCAGCCATTTGGAATTCTGTGCCTACAACAGAAGCAGATTCAATAAGGAATTGCATATATAATTGAAGGGGGAGAATTCTCAGAATAATGAGGAAAGAGCAAGGAATGGGACTAATTTGATGGTCTTTCAAAGAGCCATTACAGGTACAATGGAATAAATGTGACCTTGCTGTTCTATACTGTATTATTCCATCATGTTAGCCGACTGTTAATGCAGTTCAACTGCCCATTAGTCTTCTCACTGTATGTTTCTGGGGCTGGATGGCTGGTTTGTGATGCAAAGTGATGCCAACAGCATGGATTAAATTCCTGCATCAGCTAAGGTTACCATGCAGGACTCTCTTCCTCAGTCTCTCCCTTCACCTGAGACGTGGTGACCGTCAGTGCTCGGAGATAGCAAGAACTGCAGATGCTGGAGTCACGGTCAATACAGTGTGGAGCTGATGGAACACAGCAGGTCAGGCAGCATCAGAGGAGCAGGAAAGTCGACGTTTCAGGTTTACACCCTTCATCAGGACAGGTATTCCTCCAGCTCCACACTGTATTGACCCTGACCGTCAATCCTTGCTGTCTCCCTCCCACAAGAGGACAGCCCTGTAAACTGGTGGAACGATGGCGACTTTATCTTTATATTTCTGGGTCTTGCTTGAGCTCAATAAATGTGGTTACATTTTGAGGATGCGAGGTGGGTGTGGTGTACCAGTGTGATCAGAACCAAGAGCTTAGGAAGCAATCCTGAGAGGGGCTATACTGGTCAAAGGGAGTTATGATTGACCCGAGTTAATAAGTCTCTCCATTTCTAAAGGTGGAATGATACAGTATAGAATAGAAAGGCCACATTTATTTAATTGTACCTATCATGTCTCTTTGGCACTTAATGAGATCATGGAGAAGCTTGACATACATCTCTTTTTGCTTATTCCTATGTCTTCCTTTTTGCTTGCTTTCTCTCTACTCTGTACCCAGCACCACAGTAGTTGCCATTCCCTCCCATGAAAGAAGGAACTCCACCTCTTTTGACACACATGCCGGTGCAGCTCTACACCCAAGGTCTGTGCCTTTCGAATCACAACAATGCAGCTAAGAAGCCATTCAGCCCATCATATCTGGACCAGTTTCCATTTGAATCTTTCTCTGACAGGTCCAGTCCTCCTTCATTGTTCCTGAGAAAAGTTGCCAAGTTTTTTTTTAAATAGACCACTGGAAGTTTCAAGGGGCTCTGTAGTGTAACGAGTTATAATACTAGACTTAAAACATGAGTTCATCATCCCATTGTGAGAACTTTGAATTCTGTTTTTGTTTAAATGTTTCAGATCTGCAATTGGAAAACAGGTGTCAGCAAAATAAAAATGACTGTGAAGCTATTGAAATGTCATAAAACCTAACTGGTGCAATACTGTCCTTTTGGAAAACAAAATCCACCATCGTTCCCTAATCTGATCTCTATCTTGACACCAGTCCCTCTCCAATATGGGTCATAACTGCCCTTGTGAGTGTCCCAGCAAAGTACTCAGCTGTATTGAAGCTGCTATCAGTGTTTCAAGAAGTAGTTCCATCAGTATCTACTCAAGGCAATTGGGGCATAGATAACAAATGCCAGCCTTGCCCACATCTTGAAAGTAAATTTAAGAAAAAAAGTACAGAGGTCAGTACTTCACGAATAGTGCCCATCGGATTAGGCTGAATTGTATCAGAAATCTTTTGAATCTCTCTTAGAACAATATTGAAAGGTGAGTTGAGGAACTTGTTTAAATCAGAATGAAGTGTTGGTTTGTTCAGAGTTCATATAAATCAGGAGTCAAATCTAATCGATATGTACAGTAAGATCTGCCCTTGATAATATCTAGGACATACAGTAAACATTAGAAAAGAGCGAGAGTATTCAGAAGGCCTGACAACACCTGTAGAGAGAGAGAAGCAGGATTTATCGGCCAGATTTTCCGAGGTGTGGCAATTTCCAGCAGCTTGCCACTTCTCCCCTTTTTATGACAGGATAGAGCGCCACATTTTGGACACGAGATTCTGCTCAGGGCTTCCTCACAAATGTAGAGCCTCTCTTCCATTTTGATAGTTCTTTTGTAGTTCAGCACTGTCAGGGGATGGCAAACCATACCCACTTTTCACAGCACTCAGCTGGCATATTCCACAAGCTAAAGGCCGCTTTGCCAACTGCTGTCAAATGCATGAGGTAAGCCTGATGTTAGGCTGCTAGGAAGGAAAGGTGCTGGGGGTAGATGAGCAGGGATTAGGGTGCCAGGTTAGTAGGGCGTGGCTAGGCAGGGAATAGGATACCAAATGGGTAATGGAGTAGGGCACCAGATGGTCAGGATGCCATATATGTAAAGTGCCATATGAATAGAGGTAGGATGCCAAGTGGGAAGGGTGCAGTGTGGCAAGGTAGGTGATGCAGCATTTAGGGTAGGTCAGTTAGTGGGTGATGTTTGTGTGGAGTTGGCAGTGGGAGGATAGTGGTGACAGCCCTAGCAGCAGGGAAAGGAGTTTTGTGTGAGCAGTTTAAGGGAGAGCTATAATTGGAGGTATATGAGGTAAGTATGGAGTCTGTTCAATAGTTATTCAGGAGTCAGACTATGTGTTTAATAGTCTAGCCTTTTCCAAGTAACTATTCTGTTTAATTTCGGAACCCGCTGAAGTCTCCAGTTTAAATGGAGACTTTTAGAAGGTTCCAGGCATAGAGGAATTGCCCAGCAGAAAATTCGATTTCCCAGGCAAACCCTTCTCATTGTACAGTGATGGGGATTCTGCAGGGTCCCTGTACGCAACTCCTAGCTACACTTGAATAATGATTATCTGGCCAGGGAAAAATCCATGCCAATGTTTCAGGTAAGTGACCTTTGCGTGGTATCTGGTCAACTTCCCTACAATCTTGGGGTTGTCCTCCTGGTGTGGCTTCACATGTCTCATGTTGGCCTCACCCATGGCCTCCGGACTGAGACTGCTCCTTCCCCTCCTAATTCACCCTTGCTGGGACCTGTCAGACCGATGTCAATGAAACAACCCTAGTTATCTCTTCTCCAGGCCTCCCACGCTGTTCCTGTTCCTAGGTCTCCTGCAGATCCAGCACCTCCCAGAGGGTCGGCTGGCACTGCCGGGCTTGAAAAACATTAAACCTTCTGATTGGCCTGCAGCTGTTGGAGGTAGGAATCTTCATTTCCAAATGCCCAAGAACCCCAGTGATAGACAGCAGACAGACTGATGGGCAATTGATCCTTGTGTGGCTACAACAGGGTTCCTACTGGCCTCTGTGGCCTGTAAGTTTAATCCAAAGCTTCCACCCCTGCCACACTGGGGTAATGATTGGAGGAGAAGTGCTTAGTCCAAGAGCAGTACCATCAGTTCTAACATTCCTTTTGCACGATGACCAAGATAAATGGCCTGGAGCTGCAATGGAGGCAGATTCGACTGAGGCTTTCAAAGGGGCATTGGAAGATTATTTAATTGAAACGGCATGCAGGGATATAGGGAAAAGGCAAGAGATTGGCATTAAGTATCAAATTCAAATTCCACCATCTGCCATGGCAAATCCCAAATTTGAATTCGATAAATATCTGGAATTAAGAATCTAATGATGACCATGAATCCATTGTCAATTGTCGGAAAAACCCATCTGGTTCACTAATGTCCTTTAGGGAAGGATACTGCCATCCTTGCCTGGTCTGGCCTACATGTGACTCCAGACCCACAGCAATGTGGTTGACTCTGAACTGCCCTCTGGGCAATTAGGGATGGGCAATAGGCAGCGACGCCCTCATCCCATGAATGAATAAAGGAGTAACAGAACCAGTACAGGCATGATGTGTTGAATGGCCTCTTTCAGCACCATAACCATTCTGTGATAAACGGAGTATACGGATATTTGTTCCACACGGAAGCCTATTGATCCTGAGCAAATTACACAATTATTTTGGTGCAGGAAATAATTGTGAAACGTTTAAGGAGAGATTTAACTGTGGTGTTTACAATGATGACAGCAACTAGAAATAGCGTTTCTACTGACAGGAGGGTCAGTAACCAGAGGATTTTGATTTAAGATAACTGACTGTAGAGGCAAGATAAAGTGACTTCCTTCCACGCAGTGAGTTGCTGTGATCTGGAATGCACTGCCTGAAAGTATGTTAGAAACAGATTCATAAATAACCTTAGGAAGGAAATTGAGTAAATACTTGAAGAGGAAAAATATCTAGGACTATGGGGAAAGAACATGGGAGTGAAACTAACTGGATTGCTCTTTCACAGAGCTAGCACACACAACGGCTGCTGTGCTGTACAGTTCTGAGATTTTGCCTATAGCCATAAACTCATGTCAAAAGCAATGCATTGTCTCTTCCAGATATCGTGAACTGTGACCTGAAGTCTACCCTGCGTGTACTCTACAACCTGTTTACCAAGTACAGGAACGTAGACTAACCTGAGGGGCAGGTGGTTCTCTCCAGGAACCTGAATAAAACGCAGCCATAGCAACACCAACTTCATTTCCAGGAGCCCTGTTCCAGCAGTGGGCTGAACTGCCGATCACACTCATCTTGTAATGTTCAAACAGTGGTATTTCAAGATTCTTCGTTGGTTACAAGATTGTTAGTCCTTTATAAATATATATATATAGTGAAAAGCACTTGAACTACAAAAACTAGAATCAAATTGGACTCAGCAAACACCAGTACTTTGAAGGTTAAGCTATTGCATTCTGATGTTAAATAAAAGTCAGTTAATGTGGAATCTGGCATTGGAGGTTTTTGAAAATGCCTGTGTTACAAATACCAAAGAGCTGTTGATGCACTGAAGAGTTTCCCAGATCCAATTTAACAGCCGATATTTCAAAATTGTCATTATTCCGTGAAATCAAAGTTACATTGTGTGTTTTATGTTATTATTGATCCTTCATGTATACATCAATTGGGACGGAATTCTTGGATATTGAGGAACATCAGAAATAGCAGGAGAAGGCAATTCAGCCCTTAGAGCCTGCTTCACAGTTTAATACAATCATGGCTAATCTCATCATGGTCTCATCACCAGGAAGAAAGTACCCACATCAAAATCAACCTACTCTTGGTCTTCAAGAGCTAATCAGATTGTTTCCCTGTGTAATGTTACAAAAATCTTAAATGTTGAGATTCTACAATGAACACGTGGATAGTTTGAACATTCATTGATGTTAAACTTTATTTAATTTTTATTCTGTTGCAATACAGAGTTGTGGCGGCATTGTCCTTATGGAACTGGCTCTTGTCATGAATTCAAGTCCCACCAATATAAGGTGAAAACTGAATTCAATAAATTTGGTGTCTGGTTACAAGCAAGAAAAGTGACCATTAAATATGAGATAGTAGGAACTGCAGATGCTGGAGAATCCGAGACAACAAGGTGCAGGGCTGGATGAACACAGCAGGCCAAGCAGCATCATAGGAGCAGAGAGGCTCCGAGACAACAAGGTGCAGGGCTGGATGAACACAGCAGGCCAAGCA